GAGAGAGAGAGAGAGAGAGAGAGAGAGAGAGAGAGAGAGAGGAGTTGATTGTGACCAAGGCACAGGAGAGAGATATCCTGCCTTCTCCAGGGCAGGCAGGTGCTTTCAGTACCAGGGTTCTGAGTTCTGATCTTGCTCCCCTCAGGACAATCTTTACTTCCTACCAGCTAGAGGAGCTGGAGAAGGCATTCAATGAAGCCCACTACCCAGATGTCTATGCCCGGGAGATGCTGGCCATGAAAACGGAGCTGCCAGAAGACAGGATACAGGTAACAGTGGCTAGCCCCTCCAGCTGCCTGGAGACGCCTGGAGACGTCTATATCCCCAGGGGCAGGTACCCATCCTCACACGTCTATGTCCTTCCCTGGGGGAAGGACCATTTGCCAATCACCCTGTCCTCAGTAAAAACCATTGAGTCAAGTCTATTAGGCGGACAGGTATTTGCTGAATACCTACCACGTAAGTGAACTATAGGTGGACAAGACGCTTGGTAGATAAGTCTTGCCTGCTCTTCTAAAATGTAGGCTTCCTGGGCTGGGGATATATATAGTTCAGTGGTGGCGTGCTTTGCCTAGTTTGAGTGAGGTCTTGGGTTCTATTCCCAGTAAAAACCAAATCAAACCCCAAATCCAAACGAACAAAATGCAGATGGTAGGCTTCCTGAGAGTACATTGTAGAGACCGTGAGGAGGCCTAATGATGAGAGAGAGCGTTGATAGGGGTAGGGTCTTCCTGAGCGAGCCTATTAGAGCAACGTGGCTCTCTCTCTCTCTCTCTCTCTTTTTTTTTTCCTTTTGGTTTTTCGAGACAGGGTTTCCTCTGTGTAGCTTTGCACCTTTCCTGGATCTCGCTCTGTAGACCAGGCTGGCCTGAACTCACAAAGATCCGCCTGCCTCTGCCTCCCGAATGCTGGGATTAAAGGCGTGTGCCACCACCGCCCAGCAGCACATGGCTCTTTTAAGACCAGAGGTAGGACCAGGTGGCTGAGAGAGGAAGCTGGCTTTTGCCTCTAACCCTAGCCGGCTTCTCCTCCTCTCCTTTCCCCTTCACTTCCTATTCCTGGCCACTGCATCCAGCTGCAGCTCTGTGTTCCCCTCTTGACGGGGCAGCTGTTTCCACGTGCAGCTCCTGTTCAGTGCTTCTTCCTGGACTGGCCCAGACCCCCAGAACGTGACTGGGTACACATACCCTCTAGTGGGACTCACCAAGCCCCTCCTCCTCCCCTGGGTGGTTGTGTGGCATAACCAGCCACTTTTCTAGATTGGTGTGCCCAGCCCAGAAACCCCAGGGTATAGGAACATCTTGAGGCCAGAGAATTGAGTGGGATGGGTGGAGTATCTCCAGAACTGATTCCAGGTACATCTTAGCCTTAAATGAAAGCTGCGCCAGGCAGGCCCGGAGAGTGGATTCCTGCTGCTACAGAACTGGTGGAGAGGGGGGCATGGATGTTGGGGGGTGTGGAGATCAGGTCCTGACTTCCTGGTGCTGTTGCCTGCCCAGCATCTGCCTCTCTGTCTCCACTGGAGGTTCTTTCTGTCAGCAGGTGCTTGGCGGAGGGAGCATCCCAGATGTGCTAGAGAAGGAAGCGGGG